TGAGAGCGTGCATTTATGGAGGGATGCATTTATAGAGGGGAAGAATTTTATTGGTTGCATGTGATACTAATAAAAATATTTTTTTAATTACTATTATTATTATTACATATTAAATATTATTGTTGACTAAAAAATTGTTTCATTGTGGTTTGCTTCGTTGAAATTTTTTTTTAAATTAATGTATTGCTCAAGGGCATTAACTTGTCCTAATTGTTCTTTAGAATTTTCTTATTTTATTATAAATTTTTAAAAAAAAATCGTGATCTTTTATCTTTTGTTTAATCCTTACTTTTTTTAATTTCGCGTATATATAATTTTTTCTATTTGTGTTTTTATCATTATTATTCTAATAACTCTTTGTCAGTTAAAAAGAAAGAATTAACAAATATTATTTAATCCTTTATAAGCAACAGTAGCTTACTTAATCCTTTATTTTCCATTACCAATATTAAAAAAGAGGTAAAAAAGATGATGAATATATTATAAATAGCATAGTGGATGTTTGTTGTTACACGAAATGTCATACTTTACCAGTATATAGTTGTTACCTCTCTAAATTGGAGATCAAGTTCAGATCCAGTTTATCACTTACTTTTTATTGCCAGAATGTTTGTCATGTATTGTAAAGCTACGTTGCACAATATAAAAAATTAGTGTGACATTTCAAATTTCCACTATGCTATATATATATTATAAATAACGTTGAATTAATTAATGTAACACAAATTTATTCAAAAAAATCACGTGAAAGTCACGGGCGTGCATTTAGAGATGTTGTTTTATATGAACAGGGATGAGGGAAGACCGTGCAGTGCAGAGTATGAAGGGTGTGCATTTATCTCTAACTCCCGAGGTTGGGAATGGGACATAGCGTGCATTTATGGAGGGATGCATTTATAGAGGGTGCACTTATGGAGGGTTCACTGTACATGTAAAATTACTTTGCCCGTCTCTGATCAAGTTAGATAATTATGACTATAAATATCGACGTACATCAACCATTCCGAAAACGTTTGTATATATTTTGGTACTGGCTTTTCTCTAAGCTCTTCTCTAAATTCTTTAGGTGTACAATTTGTTTTACTTACCAATGTCTTCTTAATCTGATGTATTTGAAAAAATTTTTAGCGAAAAAAAGATGTCGGATTCATCAAAGGATTTTAGTGACAAAACCTAAGAAAGCAGTGTCCCTGAGATAGATGATTATTATATTGATCCAATGTTATTCATCATTGAGTGGAACGATAATGGGCTCAGACAGCGAAATATTAATAAAGATATCATAACTGATGGTATGTCCAAAAATAACCAATAATGTTTTGTTACATTTTTTAACAATTTTTTTGGATCAGTTATTCGAAGGTTTCCTGATTGTCGACCAGTTTCAGATAATATCGTGACTGTTGGAGAGTTGGCACTAGCAATCCATCTGAATCAATTTTTTGTGTTGTTGATTTCCCCCCTGTATGGAATCAACAAGTTATAGAAGATCTCATTTATCATCTTAGGCAAACTTATTACCAAGCAAATCAACCTTCATTGGGAAGAGTGTTTGAAATAAAGGCTACAGTAAAAGGAAAATTTGAGATTAGGGAAGATCGTCATGTATTTTAGTCTTTTAACCATTAATATGTAGTTAGAAATATGAGATTGTTACAAAATAAAATTAAATTAATGAACGTCAACATCCATAAAATTTTTATTAGATAACAAGAATTGTCCCAAGAACAGAGTATTTATTAAGAAATTGACAAGTAAAAAAATTACATTCTAAATAGTGTTATGTTGTCAACAATCATTTTGTTTGAATGAAGGAATAATTGATAATCAAATAGTTTTTCCAAGTCAAAACTTGTCGATTATACTATATAGTAGTTAATTAACTAAAATAGTTGATTCCCAACATCTAGGTTATACTATCTAAAGTCTTACTAGCATTTATACCAAAGTCAACTATGGTTTCGATAGCTTCAGCATTTTCAGCATTTCAGTGTTTCAGAACGATTTGTTGAAACTATTTTGCATATTCCATTCTGCCGAAACTCCCTAGTTTCAGCAAGCAACCTTATTGCCAATCCTGATGTTCTCCTTGGTTATATATATATATATATAAGCTTCTTCAGCAGTTTTAAATTGAAGGCTCTTTCATCATCAGTAACATTTACATTAGCTAATTTAAGATAGCTTTTATAAAAAATAATTTTAAATATGGTTAAAGCTGGAAAAAGGCAGTCAAGCACCTTTACTTTATAATCTTGATTATTATTATAAGAAATTTCTAAATCCATTTAGCTATATACTCTGTGATTGTTACGGTGTTTCCTTTCCAGCTCTCCTATTTAAAATCATCAAGTGATGCAAGAAAAATATCAGGTGTAAGTAGTTTTGACCAATGAAATTTAAAGAAAAATAAAGACAGTAAAAAAAAAATTTAATACAGCAAATTTACACGTAAAATTATCTAATTCCTAAACCATCATAACTCTGGCTATGGAATCAAAAATTTGGCTGCAACGCAACTTTTAAATAATCATTTGGCTCAATTTCAAAAAGAAATTTTTACATCAAGGATAAACATCATCAAATTAAAAAAAGATAAAGTGTAGTTTATTGAATTTTATGTTTCATTATCACCATCACAAGAAAAGAATATGAAATAATAATGACCTACCATATATTGTCGGATCGTGTGTCCTTGCAACGGTTGATTTCTATAACACAGCCTGGAATCCTATAACACAGCCTGGAATCAACAGTTAATTCAATAATTTTAATTAAAATAAATAAATTTGTCAATTTTATTATTATACTACAATATTATTAATAGTTAGTTATCCCCTGGGTAACATATAATAATAAGCTTTGGCGGCCTTTCCCTATCGGGAAGGGAGCTTACCTGGAGGATAACTGTTTTCTGCCCTGTCCGAGTTTAAAATACCTTGATGTAATAAATTGTGGCCGTTTTAAACCCAGTCAGGGTATAATGATGACTTTTGGATTGGATTAAATAAAACCAATGATTTGGCATCTACAATGTATAATGTGTTTGGATGCTTAGATACGAGTTTTATGCCTTTCCTTAATATTATTTTTAAAGTCGATCTATACTTTGTTGATCAGATAAATTAAGTTTTTTTGAATTTTGATTATCAAAAAAAAACCATGATTAATTTAAAAACTAGAACAATATCACTGACTTTTTTAAAATTTTATTTAACCAAATTAAATCATTTTTCAACTAGTTCTATACAGTTGGAACGAGCAAGGAAAAATTTTATAAAAACAAACAATAATACTTTCAAAAACAACAATATTATTAGAACAAGAATTAGCAGTAATATTGGCAAGAAGGATGGTATTAATATTAGTACTGAAAAGAGAAAGAATGATGTTGATAATGAAAAAAACGAAAATGAAGAATCAAATCGCAAATTATTCAATCAAATAGTTCCACCACTTACTACAATTCGTGAAATAGAAGCCATGGGTTTAGGCAAACCTCATAAAATTAAAACTAGTAGATATGCAACCAAAGTAGCAATAAAAGAAAAGATAAAATTAAAAGAGAGGATCAAAGAAGTTTATCATGAGCCGGAAGAAGAATTAGAAGTGAGTTTTTTTTTAATAAATTAAATATTGTTATTTTTATTTTTATTTTTTTTAAGAAAAATCTAATAAAAACTAACAAGGGAATTTGGTTAAAGTTAGCTTCCTCATCTATCATTTTTTGCAGGGGCGAAATGTGCGACATCATTCCCAGACGAAGATTTGCCTGAATTAGCATTTGTTGGTGAAGTGATTTTACAATAATAATAATAATGATAAGGATAATGATAATAATGATAATAATGTAACAAACAAGTAAATATTTAAAAAAACTCTAATGATTAGGAAGATCAAATGTTGGTAAATCTTCTTTGATTAATGCATTGGCTGATACAACCATAGTTAGGACCTCGGATAAACCTGGTTTAACACAACAAATCAATTTTTTTGCAGCTGGCCGGGTATTTAACATGATTGACATGCCTGGATATGGTTTTGCTTATTCCAACGAACAAGATAAAATGAATTGGAAACAATTAGTATGTTATAATTATATTATTATATAATATTTTATTTTTTTTGTGCATAACAATATTTTTTTATTATTATGAATCAGATCGAAACTTATATATCTACAAGGAAAACTTTAAAGAGGTTATATGTTCTTTTGGATGCTAGACATGGAATTAAAATAGCAGATATTGAATTTTTAAAAATGCTTGATGAGTTAAATAGAATCCTTAAAGCTTCCCTCAAATTTCGTTAATTAACTAACTACTATTATTGCTTATTAATATCATATAAAATTTTTTTAATTTTTTTAGGAAAAATGTTACATTCCAAATAATTCTTACAAAATGCGACCTAGTAATTCCACCTGATTTAGCGCGTCGACATTTTTTAGTACAAGAAACTTTAAGAAATAATTATACAAATTCAATCGATCCGCCTTTAATGGTGTCATCAGTTAGGAAAAAAAGTGGCATCATAAAATTAAGAAAAGAATTGTTACTTGTAATTGGCGCATTGGATAAAGCGAGGGAAGTTATGAGACGAAAAAATACATCATTGAAATTAAATAAGGCAAAAGATAAAAATAATAATAATAATTATAATAATAGTTTTGTTAAAAGTAATAATGCAAAAAAATTTAATCGTAGAACAAAGAAGACAAGATAGTGAAATTAATAATATCTATAATATCTATAATTAATTCATTCAATAAAAAAAATTGAACTACGCATTCATTCTTCAATGACCAACATAGTTGGATTGTTGAATATACAATGAATCTATCCTTCCAAAGGGAAAGCCTCGGTTATGAACTGGTTTATTATACGCCATACCTGATATTCTGCCCAAATTGCTAAACGTGCCTCTTCTTCCAGGGGAGTAATTAAAGTTGCTTCAACAAATTGTAATATATTTTTTGAATAAGAGCACAACCTGTCCTTGATTCTCAAAACTTAACGTTCTGTCCAGTCACGCATATGTTACATTTTAGCTTACCGAACCTAAGCCGAATTTCAATAAACTGAACCTGAACATGGCCACGGTGCTGTTGAATGTATCAACCCATCTTGCATTTCATTCAAAGGTGGCTATACTATAAAGCACTGGGATCCTCATCAGCAACCGCCATTGCTATTGCTGGTACATCAAAATTTCTCTCGACTTCTCATTCCACTTTACCACCCTTCCCAAGAACTTACACGACACCAATCAATATATACCGGACAATATTTCTTCTCAATATCGAAAAGATTCAATGGGAGTCTCTCCTGGTCAAGGAGATTTAACAAATAATTTGTCATTGTATGGGACTTTTCAATAGAAAAGTGAAAAAAGCGATTATGAGTTAATACCATTGCTATATGTAACTCCTCATATAGAACATTTTTGGCTTAAGAACCCACTTTACGTAGTAAAATATTGAGATATTTTTCTCAAAAACCTTAAAACGCGGATCTTTCTTTAATTTTCTCAAAACATCATCATTTTCACAACATTCACAACATGCATGGATTGTCCTTTCTATTGAAAAAGCTCCCATATGTTTTGGTTTGTTTTATTTTACATATAAAAATACATTATTAAATAAACTAACGTTAAATAAATTAAAATACATTATAAACAAATTACTATTAAGAATAACTGACTGCTTAGGTTGCAGCTAATACTATTATTATGATCAACATAATAAGAAATAAAATTGAAACAAAGAACAAAATATACCAGAATAGCAAGGTTGGTCTATTGTCTACTGTTGCAGGCATAGACCAAATTTGTTCCAGACTTTTAATTTGCTTAAATTTTCTTTCGTATGGTGGAATATGAGATATGTCTACCCACGTTTTAGTTGGCTGGACAGGTATTTTAATTGTATTTATTACTTGAGGTGATGTTGGTGTCATTTGTGTCATTGCACTAATTGATCTATCAGTCAAAACTTGTGGCGTGGCACTACGTGTTTGAATATATGAAGATTGTGTTGAAGGATTTTGTGTGTGTGAAAAGTTATTATTTAAAAATTGTAGTTGTTGAGATTCAAGATATATAGATGATTCTGATGGATTTTGTTGATGCATGGCAAAATTAGAATATTGTTCCATCGGTAATGTTAATGATGGCGATAATGGTCGTAAAGGTATAGTTGATGTGATATTAGAATCACTGAAACTTTTTGATTGTGATGAATTATGATTTGGTAATGGTGGCAAATCCTTATCAAGGTCATTAATAAAAAAATTGCTTGTAACTGGTTCATTTGCATCCACCCGATCATCTAAATTGATCTTTCCACCACCATTATTTTTTGAATCGTCAAGGATATTATCATCGTTGTCATCGTCTTTATCGTCGTTGTCGTCATCGTTGTTATCTTTTTTAATATCATTACCATCTTCTTCTTCTTCTTCTTCTTTGCCGGAATTTTCATCTTTATTGTTATCTGACGAATCTGTGAAATCTATTGACGGTTTCAATACTGGTGACTGATTTTCATCAATTAATTTTAAATCATCATTTTCATTTTTATTTTCATTTTCATTTTCATCCTCTCCATTTCCCAACTGTTTATTATTGTTGTTATCTTTGCTATTTAATAACTCTTTAGTGAATGTAGTTGTATAGGTTACAATTTCAAAGTTATCAGAATTATTTTTTTCAAATAATGGTTCTGAAATTCTTTCAATTAATAATTCATTGTCTCCTTCCACATTTTTCTCCTCTGCTATTTTTTCAGAATCATTGACGCTTTTATTTAATGATGTATCTTCATATTCATTTAAACTATCATTATCAGTTTTTTCAATTCCATCTTTTTTAGAAACTTCTTCTAAATCCATTTATAGAATTATTATCGTTATTATTCATCAATCAATCAATTTAAAATTTTGAAATAAACAAATCCTACGAGGGAAAATTTTTTTTTTTAACAAAATAACTTTCTAAATAATTTTATCTTTTTCTAATTTTGTCAATTCCATTTGAATTACATCTCACAAAATGGCTAGACAATTTTTTTTTGGTGTTTCAAATAGAATTTAAAATTGAACACGAGCTAAGTTTGCAAATTATGTGTAACTCGTCACGAAAAATGATCTTGCTACTTACAGTTCAAGAAAATATCTCAATTTAATGATTTAATGATAAAAAAGTGGCACCACTGCTTATGGATTAATTTTTCTATTTACATTCTACATATAGCAATAACTATTATAAATACAAATATATATTTATTAAAAAAAAAAATTAAAATATATTATATATGATTTTCTTTTAATTTCAAAATCAAGATACTGTGGCTTTTAGTTTTTTAGTTTTATTGGATTTATTAGAGGTTGACTGATCATTTGATTTTGCTGCTATTGTTGTTGCCTTTTTTCTTGATTTCTTTTTCATGCTATCTAATCCAGCCTTCATTATTACTGAATATTTTGTTAGAAAACTTTCAAGATCATTTGGATTTACCTTTACAATAAGAAAATTTGTAAAAAAAGACCTCATAATTAATTAAGTCTCAAAAGTCATGAAGATTAAAAATAATAAAATTTTTTTTACCAATGTACTAAATTTTTTTCTCTTGCAACTAGCTCTAATTATACATGGATATTCTTTATCATCAGAAATCTTAATTTCTTTTGTGCTCGTTAATTTGTCTTTTTCATTTGTTTCTGATGACTCTTGTGCTTTTTTTTGCGCTTTAGATACATAAGAATCTTAACCATATAATCACGATTAAGTATATTAATTAATTTTAAAAATTAAATTTTTCTTGGAACTTAAATGTTATATTTTTTTCTTACATCTTTTCGTTGTAATGTAAACTTTATGATTTTTTTCATTTTCAAGCAGACGACGAAGTTGCGTAAGAAACTAAATTATTTTTCAATAGTAGAAAATAGAATGAACGTCTTAAGATCTCTCTTATGCAGTAAATTTTTATGATTATTTACCATATCGTTTTCCAAAGGTCCAGGCATCTTTTATCACTATTTAAAGTTATTATGCTAGAACTATTGAAATGAAATAACTATTTGATAATGTTGTGTGGTTGTGTGGTCAACAGTAAAAATTTAAAAAAAATCTTTTGTGTTGATCATTAACTATTTCAAAATTTTTTTTAAAATGCTACAGGGGATTCCTTGGAATGGTTATTACTATTACTATGGTGTTACTGGAGTATCCGTTTGTTTTTGTTTTCTATATATTACTATTACTATTGTTGATGTGTTTATTTTTTTAGAATGGACTTATTGTTCTTTTTTTCTTTTTAATTATTTTTCCCATTCCAATTGATATTGGTTGCAGGTTTTTCTTCACTTGTTTTTGATGAGGTAATTGTTTGTTGAGGATAATTTTTGAGTGAAAAGATAGTTAGAACAATTGAATGTCCCTACTATTTTTTCATTCACTCTATACAATAAAAATGATACTGCTCACTTCCATAACTTAATATTGTTTTCATCATTGCAGCCAGGAAAACATTCTTTTTTAGGTTTAGTAACAAAATATTTCTTATCAAATACCACCACACCCATTTATCTTATTCTTAACGTGTGACGTAACTATAAAGTAAAAAAAGGGCCTAAACAACAATATCATTTTGGTTACAAAACAAAAACAAAACTAAAAAGTAACGATTTACAAAATTGTGTGTGGGGAAAATCATTATTATCATTTTTAAAATAAGAAGATTTGCACAACAATTCCTAGATTCGGTCCAGTTTATTATGTTTATATATTGTCCATACGTTAGAGTAGTTAGACTAATCAATCAATCTAAAATTTTTTTTTGTTTGTAACTAATTCTTTCTTTGGAATTTTTATTTAAAATTTTAAATTTTTTTCCGTTAAAAAAAAATTTTTTTTTATTATATTTTTTATATTTTTAATATTTTTTTTATATTTTTATTATATATATTAATTAATTAATTAATTAATAACTTTAAAGAGGATTAAACGAATTTCTATGTATGTATTTATTATTAACTATAATGAATAAAATAAATAAAAGAAAAAAAAATTTCAATCATTTATTTTTTTGGAAAAAATAAACGAAAATAACAAAAGAAAATTTCGTACACAAAAAGGAATTTTAGAAAAAAATTTAAAAATTAAATTAATATTGTGTAAATATAATCGATTAAGAAAATTGGAATGGGGAAATAGAAAAAAAAAAAATGAAAAACAAAATGAAAAAAAAATGATAAAAAATGATAAATAAATAAATTTATGTAAAAAAAAAATTAAAAATTGTATGTGTGAAAGAAAACTTTGTACAAAAAAAAATTTATAAGTGAAGGAAGTAAAGGAAGTAAAGGAAGGAAGGAGAATATAAAAGGAAAAAATTTAAATTTTACAAATTAAATAATAAAAATGTTTTTCTGCTTGTATGAATATATGAAATAAACAAAAAAAATAATTATATTATAATTATATGTTATATAATAGTTTATAAATGTTCTTCACAAAAAATATAAAAAATTTAGAACGAAAAAATTTATAATTTTGTTAGGTTAGGGTCGTAAAATACGAGTTTATTAATATTATTATTCATCATGATTATACAATTTAATCGAACCAAGGACTCGCTTCGCCCATTGCCCATCCAGCGACCATATTTTTTACATTAACTTCTTGAGATTGTTCAATATCTAATAAATCGTTTCTCCAACCATCATATTGTTGTAAACTATTCATCGAATTCCAATCTATTGAAGGACTAGGATCTTCTTCAGGAATAGCTATAATCGTAAGGATAAGAGAACAAAGATTAATATATATTATATATATATATATATGAATATACATATCATGCGCATAAAGAGAATAATTACCACTTATAAGTTCTTGTGAGTGTTGAGATAATCTTCGTTTAAGTAAACTTCCACGATAAATTAATTCTCTGTTATGCTGATGGAATGGGTTTGAATGAATGAATTCATCATCTTCGTCATCAATCTCTTGGAAATGCGTTAAATGCGTGGGCAGTATGGTAGTTTCTTGTCTTTGAGTAAATACACCTTTAGGAAAAAAGTCAAAAGATTATTAATTATTATTTATTATTAAATAAATAAATTTTATCTTTTTTTTTTTCGAGTGTATAAAAAAAGCGAAACTTACTTTCGACTTTATCCCATGCTCTCTTAATAAATGATCTACTTTCCTCAAGGCTATTGCTAATATTATTAAATCTTGAACCCTGAATAACTTCTCCGGTATTATTACTACTACTACTACTACTACTACTATTATTATTATTATTACTGGATTCACTCAGAGCATTATTTGACGTAGGAACTGAATAAAGACGAGATATTGTTTCGAATAAAGAAAGCATTTCAAGAAATTGTAATTGTAATAATATATAAACCCGTATATACTATCTATTTGTTATTGTAGAGCCAAGTTTTTAGATTCTTAATAATTATAAGCTTACAATATATATTTATATGTGTATATATATATTATTTTGTATTTTATAAAATTTTTTCTATAATTTATTTATTATATATATATACAAGCAAAGAAAAAAAAAGAGACGGTAAGAGAAAAAGCAAAAAAAAAAGCAAAAGGCAATATTTATATATATTTGTATTTGTGTGAAAAATCCTTTTGTTTATATATAATAAATTGATAAGATACATTGGATATAAATAAATAGCAAATTATACAATATAAATCACAATGTACTCCCCAAAAAATCGATGGGGCAAAAAGACTGTGTTTCGTGTATATTTAAAAATGTTACGTTTGTGCATACCACGATAACTTAATTCGGGTTAGACAAGTTATGCAAGATGAGAAATCCTGATATAATCAAGTTGTTATTATATAGTTGTATAAATAAATTGGTATTTCAATTAATTATAGTTGGCGAATAATTAACATCCCTGGAAAGCTCCATTTCTCGACATATTCATAAATTTACACAAAAATAGAATATCGCGGCGTTCATGAATAAATAAATAAAATATGTCACAGTAATGTAATTTGAAATTATGGCAAATTAGTTGTCGTTATGTCATGATTAAACATCTTGATTAATATAATTGATGAACTATCTTGGTTAACCTTTGGAAACAACTCAATTGCAATCAATCATTAGTTATACGCAAACCCAAATCTTGATTCGCACAATCCTAAATCCAAACTCACTATATGTATCTTTGTCAAAGAAAATTATTACCTGTTGTGATCGTTTATTTAATTCTACGCCCAAGCGAATCGTTATTATTATTGTTGTTACCAAATATGAATAAAAAAATTCCTGTTAAACAAATACCATATGATACATTCTTTCATTTTTATTTTCACCGTCAATTTTTGTAAATAATTTTTATCAATCTTTAGAAATTCTTTCTATTCTTCTAATATTCGTAATTGCAACAGATAGTAACTTGTTTAATCGATTAATTAGTTAATGATATTTCTTTCTATTTATTATTGAATATTTTAGTAATAATTTGAGTAAATAATGACGACGACAATTATGATAATAATATGAATAATATGATGATGACGATGAGGGAGGGAGTTGAATAAGCAATCTAAAAATAGTAAGTTAATGAAATAATAAAATAATGAAATAGTAAAAAAAAAAAATACCCTTTGGTCAAATTGTCTCGTTTCTATTGAAAAAGGCCCCAAAACCAATGTTTTATGTGATAATTCAATCAATGATTTTCTCGATTATCACTCACCAATTATTTATCTTTACTATATATGTGTTTCCATATACGTGTATAAATTTTAATTAAAGTTTTTTCCTCTCCTTAAATTAAAATTAAATTAATGCACATAAAAATGTTGTTTAACATATATAAAATGTTCTTATGACTTTGTCCCCAGCCTTTGTAGAAAGTCTTTTGTCACTTTTGACGTTATTACTGTTACTTTTGATTTCTTCTTTTGATTAAAAAACAAACTATTTTGAAACATTTGGAGGGAGAACTCATAATTAAAAGTCGTTATTATTGGTAAAATAGTAGTTATGTACATATGTATGCATGTACCTCAAAGGTCAAAATTTAGCCTAACCAATTATATACACATTCGTGACACAATTATGATTGATATAATTGATATAAGGCGTATTGCAGACGCAAACATAGTAGAGTCAAAATCGAGAACCTTAACATTACTGACCATTGATTGTAAAACAACCTTCAAGGTCTTTTGATCAATTTGTGTTTTTACATAGCAACTGGCGAAAATATTATTAGACTAATAAAAAATGGGATACCTATAATAAATTGATCTACATACCCTATTTTATTGTTACACACAATAAAATTAATATCTCGGCTAAAATTTTAGGTGATAATCTTCTTGTTTTCTAAATTTGGATCAAAACCTTCGGGTCAATCGGTGTATATATAATTTTTTTTTGGAAAATTAATTTATTTTTAAAGAATCAAAAATTAATACATTTTAATAAAACTATTAAATGATCTAATGTATCTAAATGCATTAATTTTTTTCATTATTTATCTCAGAGGTTGTTTTTGCTGGAGGAGACAGTCCCATTGTCTCTACCATAACTACTCTCATAAATATATCTGTAATATTTGTATTCTAACCTTTGTATACATTTGAAAGAGAATGATAACAATAAACAAGAAAATCATCAATGTTATGGCTTAGAAGAAAGTCCAATTAAGTGATTAAAGTGAAAAAAATTGCTTTTGTAATTCTATTATTTAAAATCATTTGATATTTTTAATTACAATATACATCTAATGAATTAAGATATTGAATATAATTGTATTACTGGAAATATGGTTTTTACTGCATAAGCTGATTGTTTTTGCATTTGCCAAATATTTTGTCAATGTTTGGATTCTCAAATTAATGAACATAAAACAATCATGATTAAAGTTAAATAATTTCAGATATAATTTTGGCTATTATGAAAATCTATTCCAGAATTTGGATTTGGCAATGATCATTTATTATAAAATCCAAAGAAAGAATTAATAGTTAATATCACATTTAACAGATTTACAATTAAAACTCACAATATTAGGAGGACTAAAAAATTAACAACAATAAGATAGATGATATTTGCTATGTCCTTCAACATTTTATAATGACATACCAGAATCACAGTTTCTGTATATATTTATTCAGTGCAATCTTTATTGCTACACAAATATCATTACTTACAAAAACAAAATTATCCATAATTATTGTTGTTTTCATCAATGCCCTTATTTTTGGATTGCCTAGTGAATTCAACATTCTTTTGTTGAAGATTATCTCTTTCCCTAAAATTTGCAGCAAAACTACTTTTTTAAATAGCCAAATGATGTAACTTTCTAATGCCATTTGAAGTACTTCCTTAGAATCATTCATGACAATAAGCTTTAATGAAATGGGACATACTGCAACAAAACTAGGCAAGGTGAACATTTGTTCCTACTTATACATATAGGATTATTCCTCCTATAGCAATTTGAAGTCCTTGGAGCATGATGCTGTGACATCAGCTGACACTGGAAATCCAAATTATGAGTTATGTGATACTTGTCAACATTCATAATGGTTCACATTACAATAATCACCAGGAGGAAGAAGCCAAAGGATTACTTATACCACATTCTGATCAACAGATAAGTAAGATTTATTATCTTAGTCCACATAAAATCCATTTATTTGGTACTCAAGATTAAATGGTAAGGGAACAAAATTAAAACTCAGAAGGTTGCTAATGGACCTTTTGCTGGATTCAATTTATTAAAAACTAGGAAAACAGATATTTCTGAAATTATAAAAGAGATTAAAACTCTACTTATTTTAGTGTTAACACCTCCTCCTTTTGATTACAAGTAGCAAGAATAATAATATTCATCCATTTGTTAAAGATGAATACAAAGACAAAACCAGTACAAAAATATTTGACAATTAATTCAAGTTGGCTTCAAAATATTTCTCTTCTGCTTTTTGTTTTTGTGCTTATATACTCTTTTATTGGTTGTGATTTTTGTAAATTTCATAGGCGATCCTTTCTTTTGAGTATCATTTATTTTGAAAACATAAGATGCAACAGTAACCAACAAGGATTGGCAATATCAGAAGTTAAGGGATGAAAGAGACAAAAAAATAAAAGATTTAGAGAATGATTATAGTAATGAACAAAAAGCAAAAGAAAAGAGCAAGCAAATAATCAGCAATTAGAAAATGATATAGCTCAATTAAAACTGCAACTAAAATATTTAAATGAAGTCAAAGAAAATAACTTTGGACAGCAAAACTATTCAGGAACTTCAAAAGCAAAAGTCTGAATTAATTGAACATGAGAAAATTATTCAAGAGTCAATTGGGTAAAAAAAAATAAAATGGTAGTCCAAACTCAAAAATTAGGATTAATTATTCTCTATGTAAGTTATTGAATAATTAGAAAGTTATGAGGAAGAAAATATTGGTAGTATTCTTTTTAGTACAAACATTCACTTTGTTGCATGAAATTGAAAACTTAAAAGAATCATTGAATTAGCTGAAATAGCACTTGATGAAGAGCAAAGAAAGAGAAAATCCAAAATGAAACCAACAAATCAAAAAGCAAGAATAACCAGTAAAAAGATGAGGGTCAAACACAAGATAAGCAAAGAAACAAAGCCATAAGCCAATTTCAAATGTTAATATCAAATAAGAGTCTGCAAGATCAGCAGAACAAGCAATTAAATTGAAACAAACAAATTGAATCAAGCCTGATAAGACCAAAGCAAAGGCGAAAGAAGGATAAGCTGAGCATCACCCTATACTTTTGGATTGACTACCCCAAGGATATTGGATAATTATATATTTACCCATAGCCAAATTCAAGGCAAAAGCCAAAAAAAAGATCTGCATTTCAAAACTTTAATGGGAAACATCTCAAATTTTTATTAAGCAAAATGGATATAGTTCTAAGCTAAATTAATCTTTGTAATTGGATATAAGGATATTGTTAACTCAAAAAATCGACCCCAGGCGATGTTTGCCTCATGTGTGAAATTCAAACAAGTCAATTGGCCAAATATCCCAAAATTTTAATTATAAAATTTACATTTGACACGGATTTTTTCATATTAATATGGACGCATAAAAAAAGGGAATCTGTCCAATGGAGAGAGGATGTAATAAGATGAGATATAAACAAGAGGGATATGATTCTGTACCCTGAAACTCTTTGTGACATAATATGCATTAGGGCGCAAAATGTGATCACAAACTTCAGAAAATGATAGTAATGGTAATAATAGTAATAAATAATAAAGATCGTCAAAAATTTCCGAAAATTCTTTACAATTATTAATTAATTGTAATAATGATTTTGCGCCTCATATGCACATATAGTGTTGACATTGGAAACGGACATTCCACTATATCTTTTTTTGGTAAATTTAGGCATGTGATTGGCTGTGTCGATGTACAAGGTACCGTTTTTGGAGATTTAAATGTCTATTGTCAGCACGAAGCTCAAAAAAATTTAATATCTTAAAAAACAAGAATTCTTTTATAATAACTACTTTACATACATACATACAATTGAAATGTGGCATAAAAATATAATTCTTATTAAAGAAATAAATCAACCAAATATGTAACGATCTTTGATAATTACATGGTTACTAAATCTTTACCATTCCGTGCCATCTTCTGCATTCATTACAATCTTTATGTATTCCTGCCGATTCTCGATAGAAAGGGAACATCTATATCTAAACTTTTGATATCGCGGTTTCTGACTGGAACATCTCTTGGATTATAAAAACAAAATTTCTGTAAGGCGACGATAACATGAGATTCATTAAACTCATACTTTGCCGTCAATGGTTGGCCCTGCGCAAGGCGCTTCGGCAGAGTTACACTCACTAGAGTATCAATGAAAAAAAATATGGAAAGTGTTGGCTGGCTAAAAAGAACAGATAGATTTTCAAATTGAAACATTAAAAGATCCAAAATACATTGTAATTAGCAGTTAAATTATTTTTTAAAAAATATCTGTGAGTTGAAATTTTATTCTAAATTAATTAGTTTAAAATAAAAAATTTGGATGTTCAGGGACATACCGCAAATATGTTAGTGAAGGAGCAATAGTAAGCTTGATTTATTTGAATAAGCTTCATATTTGTGCATCAAAATTGTTTGTGATTAAATCACATTTGGGGCGTGGACAGCAAATAAGAACATGACAAGATTTTATCCACGACCGGTCACTGAATTTTGAACCCTACAGTTAACTTGTATTGATCTTGGCAGTTTATTATTATTATAATGATATTTGAATTGTTATCTATTTTCTTGAACTTCATTTAAATTTTCCTATTCAATTAATAAAAATATAAAAGGAAGACAAAGATAACGACAATCGTTGTTTATTATTATTATTATTATTATTATTATTATTATTATTATTATTATTATTATTAAAGACCCGATTTTCTTTGACCTAACCAGATTATAAAGAACCATTAATTATCATCATCATCGTTCTTCATTATTATCATTTATATTTATATTTAACAAGAATAATTTGTGTAAAAAATTTTTTTAGTTTATTATTTGTAACACAATAATAGATATAATAGATATATAGATATAAATGACAAGTCATATTTGTTTGTTTGTTAATATAAAAAGCTCGCGGATTAGGAAAAAAATTAATTGATTTCACGAACAAAGTTGGAAAATTTCTATAAATAAATATAGTAACAATACTAACAAATAACATGCAATAATAGCCTTAACTCTTTTAAATTTTAAATATATGTAACAAAAAAATTTTTCATGTGACCAAATTACTACATATATCAGATATAATTCAGTGTAACAAACCGTTAACAAAACTGTGCTATTAACAGTTGTGGGACATGTCACAGAGAGTGTAATTTCATATGTGAAATTAAAATTTCAAATCCGTGCAACAAATCGGGTTTTAAAAATATCTCGACTTTTTAATAATAAACTTGAACTTCACTATTAAGATAAAAAGAAACTACACCATTTAAGCTTTCTAATCATATATTTTTATATCTGAGAACGCCCCCTATATAAAGCTATGGCTATTTTAAAGTAGTGGTGTTTTTTCACTTCAAAGTTGTGATTATCTACCAATATTGCTTTAAAAGACTTGATAGTAACAGACAAGGTGTAGAATAATTCAAGCTTTCATATGGTTATTACTTTATAGGGGGTATTGGTTAATAAGTTTTAGAGCGGCTCCCACGCGCTGAAATTTCAAAAAATTGTTTTTCAAAAACGCGGTTTTTTTTTGTAAACATCACATGATCAGTTTAAAATTTTTTTTTAAAAAACCAATCAAACTAAATTTCCAAACTTAAAAAACTGTAAAATGCCTTACCCATCCAAACACAAAAGTCAATTAAAGGATGCAAGAACACAAATTGGAAAAAAGAGTATGTTCTAGAATTAAATTACATAAATATCTTGTAAATAAAATTTTAATATCATTTATGTTATTGAAAGGTGATGATGAATTATTGTTCAATGATGTTATTGTAGCTTCTGATGCTTTGTTAGTAAATAGAATGAATTTGAACCCAGGTGGTATACAGCCTAAAATGAGAACAATAACAATGAGAGATGGCACCATTCAGGAATGGTGTTTGAAGATGGCACTCCTAAAGGTATGAGAGTAGTTTTAGAAGAAAGAAATTTGTGGAAAGAAGGATTAAAAAGATTTGCCATGATTGTAAAAATAATATTAATGTTCAACAAAGAAATGATTGTTGTGCATCAAAGATACTTTATTTGGAGCATGATTTTGCTTCCCAAAAATCTCTACTTACTGAAATAATTGAGAATGCTGGTCACAAGGTAATTTTTTATCCAAAATTTCATTGTGAATTGAATTTTATTGAAATGTTTTGGGGAGCAGCCAAACAATACGCCAGACAAAACTGTAACTATTCACTCAAAGGTCTTAAGAAAACAATATCAGAAGCATTGGAATCTGTTCTTTTATTGAAAATAAGAAAATTTGCTAGAAAAACACAAAGATATATGTGCTTATAGAATAGGTTTAACAGGCAAACAAGCTTTGTTTGTTGTAAAAAAGTATAAACCTCATAGATGTGTGTCTGTTTCAGTTACAGATGAATTGGATATCATAAATTTTACATATCACGTGATTTGTCTTCAATTTTGCCAAGAATTACCTAAAATGGAAAGTGCTGAAATTTCATGAACATATATAAAATGACCTTATTTTTTTGGCTTCACAGGAAAATTTTCATATGGCTTTTCAAAAATTTTTTCTATAACTTTATTCTTTTAATCAATATCTATCAAATTTTTCAATTACATATTTTTATGGGTCCCTGAAGCCTTTTAAAGATAGCCCCTAAAATTGATGTTTATAGGTGACGTGAACCATATATAATAATAATGTAATTCAAATATTAATATTACAAAGATTCCTACAATGCTTGCAAGTGAATGTTAGTATTAATTTCAATTAATTTTCTGTGGACATAAATATTGTCTTCAATGATTTATTAACAGCATTTCCAATTTTTCAGATTATTTGATGATGTATTTTATCATGATCTAACTTATTCACAATGTGTTGTGTCTAGCTTCTTTTTTATTTTTTTTTACATTCTGATTTGCTTGATATAATTCAAGTTTGATATCAAAAGAGCTTGAGAACTTTTAAGTGATAAAAGGTGATCTATTAGGGAGCACAGACACCACTTTCTTCTACTACCCCATAAAAATAATGCTGAAATTCCATACCATCAACAGTAAGAAAATGAAAAATATTTATTTCCCTTTATAAATATTTATTTGAATATATAATTAATTTTTTACACAATAGGTGATGATAGTTATAATCTTGTCATGATTACAAATAACAGAAAACATCCTGCTAATGATGTTGATGAAGAAAATGTTAAAATAATAATGCTGAACAAAAGCAGTAATAAAATTTTAATTTTAATTTGAAATTTGTTTTTACAAATTATTTATTTTATTAATAAAATTTATATGTGGTAAATAGTTAAAAAAAAGGAAGGAAGTTGTTGTTGAAAGTTTAGATCTAAATCAAAAAAATAAGTGTAAGAAATTAAGTAGATTATTTAATTTTAATTATAAATTTGAACAATTATACTAATTATATTCATTTATACTAAATTATTATTAGCAAATTCATATTTTTTTATTGGATTTTTTTTTCAACAAATTGGGAGTTTTTGGTTATTGATTTTTTTTCTTTTTTTATATACATATGCACATACATTATCATCAATAAAATCAATTAAAGTTGTTAAAATTACAATTAAAATAAGATACATTATTCAGTAAATTCAACTAGTGATAATTAGTAATTATTCTTTTTTGTTTAAGAATAACCAGGAAATAATGAAATCCATACTTTGTCTTCACTTTCTAAATCAGGATCCATGCCTTTAGGGGTTTTTAACCATAATATGTATGAACTGTTTAAATCTTGATACACTTCCATTGCATTCAATTGATGTGAATCATCATGAACAAAAACAGTTTGATTTTGTCTAAAGAACAATTTATAATTAATATTATTTTCTGTTAATATAAAAATAATTGATTTGATTATATTGAATTAATTAAACTTTTTTATTTAATTAAATTTTTTCTTTTAGAAATGAGAAATGAGAAGCTTTTATTTAATTAATTACATCAAATACTTTTGTTAAAATTTTTCTTTTATATATATATGAGAAATGAGAAATGACTAAATATAATCAAGTAATGAGAAGTCCTCTATTATTTAATAAAAACTTTTTGTTAAATTTTACATACCTTTATTAAGTAACAAGTAATTTTTGTTAAGAAATGAGTAACTTTACTTATATAAGAGTAGACGTTTATGGGAAATGAGGAACTTTGTTTAGAGATCACTAAAAACCTTTATTAATAAAGTATATTGGAATTTTTGTAGAAAATAAAAGGGCCTGGAATTACATATAACGAAGTTCTGAATCGGTTTGAACGCGTTACGCGCACTTTAGCAAATTTTTGAGCCACAGATCTGCATATAAATTGACACGTGATTCTCCCTGAAATGACGCAGATCTTTGATCGTGTAACCCAACCTTGACGAATAAAAAAAGTGTCAGACGCGTTACTAATAATAATGTTTACACACTGACTGATTCAATAACATCTAATATTCCATTTCCCTTCAAAAAATGACAGACAAAACATCAAATTTTGACTTGGATTCGAATAACACTGGTAATAATCTTACTTTTATGGATGTAATTGGTAAGCGTTGTCTTTGTAGTTAAAAAAATTTTACGTGTTTCATGTACATTTTTTGGAAGATGATGAATTTTTTGTAGATAGTTTAATTATAATAACAATGTTTGCAACTTTTTTTAGATATTTCCATTTCAGAATACTTCCAAAATACCACACCTGCAAAATGGTCATTTGATGATTTTTCAAGGACAATGAGGCTATTCATCATGAAAGAAAATAAAAGTACAGATGAACTATCCTCAATATGGCGTAAAAGATTTATAAATGCACTTAAATTCATAATTAATAATGCAGAAACAGACAAGACAGTTCGGCAGATTGCAACATTACTTGTAAATCAAGTATAGCATAAATTTTTATTTTTTATTTTTAGTACATGTGCAGCTCAGGTGGGTGCCGTTCCTCCACTCATGCAAGAGAGTTTCCTTAAGGGTGCCGTCCCCTATAAGGTCGCTGAGTATGAGGTGCCGTTCCTCGCACTTTTGCACAAACCAGGGTGGTCCCGTTCCTCTGTTATCTTGCAGACAATCCTATAGAAGTGCCGTCCTTCTAAAGATTCCTGGCAATGGGGTGCCGTTCCTCGTACAAATAAGTACTAAAAACCCTTTAAAAAAACTATCAGTATAATGTAATATGAAATAACTATTCTTTTTCCATTCATTTGTTCAAGGAACAATCTAGCACTATTACAAAGTTCTGAAAGCAGTTAAAAGTTGATAAAAGTTATGAAAGTGTCCAAGAAAGACTTCAAAATAAAAAGGTTTGTGATCATTTTGAAAGAGTTATTCGTGCAAATTGACATATTGATTTATATTTTGTTAAAAGCCTTTTGCATTGCAGTTTGTATTCAAGGTAAACTCGCAAATTGATGCCCTTGATATTTTGGAGGTTTTTAGAACACATCAAACTGTTGAAGTTACTAGAGTTTATATAATATATATCTTGATTACCATATACTATACACCTTTATTTATTTTATTAATGATAAATGATAGTTAGAAATGTTATTTATTTATTATTGCTTGAATTATCTATATATTAGTTTTATTTTTTATGTTACACGTTAAAGTTAAAATGTGGATCATCACAAATTTGGATATTATGAATAAAAATCCAATTCCGCTCAGGAAAGAACAAAAATAACTGCAAATTTTGAGGTGGTGTTATATAGTTTGTGCAGCACCACTTTTCTAAGTGGTACTTTTTCGATTTTACAATATTCTTCTACATTGAAATGTCTATTAAATGTGTGTAACACCGATCTATCCATAAAAGGATTTTTATCTATGTTCAATAAAACAATACAAACGAATATTCTTTCTAAATTATCAGGCGATAAATTATACAATCAATGATATAACAAAAATGAAATAATAAAATATCGCGACAAGAATTTCTAAATAATCGTATGATATAAAATTCTAAGAAAAAAAAATCATACGTAATAATGATCTTTTATTTAATGAAAATGCCGACTTATCGAGAACAATTTCTTATCCTAAAAAGAGGGTTGACTGACCTTATCAAGGGATTTTAAGAAAAAAAGGGCAGAAAAATTTTGGCTGAGGGACCTATGTATACTAGATCTACTGAAAATCTTACATAAATGAAAATATCGCACATATGAATTGTGGACCAAATTTATTAAAACTATTATAATTATAATTAAAACCATGTTTAGCGATAAAACAAATATAAATCAACTGTTTTTTTCATGATTAAAGAGAGTGACTTGCGTGAACTAATCCATACTAATGTCAAAGAAAAGAGTTGCAATTATAGGCGCAGGTAATAGGATCAATAATTAATATAACCTTAATTGATCTTTTTTCACTGTAATCACCATTATCTTTAAATTTTTTAAATTTCTTTTTTCAAAAGGATCATCTGGCCTTACATCCATCAAACAGTGCCTGGCTGATGATCTTGAACCAGTTTGTTTTGAAGCAACTGATGACATTGGTGGTTTGTGGAATTATACTGAGGTTACTGAAGAAAACAAAGATCCACATTCATCAATCTGTCGAAGTACAATCATCAACACCAGTAAAGAAACTGTATATGACTTTGATTGTTTGATTGTTTGATTATCTGATTTGGAATAAAGGATTGACTTTTCTTTTTTTTTTTGGTGATAAATATTTATGTTAGATGTCTTATTCCGATTTTCCTATTCCAAATGATTGGCCTACATATATGCATGGAAGATTTGTAAAAAAGTAACCAATCAATTATTTTTTAGATTTAATTGTTTTTACTCATTAAAATAACAAAAACCAATGCTAACATTAATACTAATATAAAACCTTTTAAGATATTTTGATTTATATGCAGATCACTTCAATTTGAAGCAATATATTAAATTTAATACAACTGTTACTCATGCCTCAATTTTACCTGATAAACGATGGTCAGTGAGTCATATCAATAATGAAACAGGAGAACAATCAGAAGAGTTTGATTTTGTGTTGGTTTGTATTGGTCATCATCGATACCCAAGATTACCAAAGTTTGAAGGAATGGATATTTTCAAAGGAAAACAATTGCATTCACATTTTTATAGATCGTAAGTTTTCTAATGAAAAAGAGATAGTACATATCAGGGTTGGCAAATTGACTAAATATGTTACACTAGTTGACCCAATGGACCACACATTTACCAACCCTGATAGCATGAATATATATTTGCATTAGGTGTAATAAAACTTTTTTTGCATATCAAATCTATTAGACCTGAAGAATTTGCAAATAAACGTGTTATAGTTGTTGGTGTTGGTAATAGGTAAATTAAAAATTGATGATAATGACATGAATTTATTAGTTAGTTATTTGGTTAACATTTGCTAATATATTTTAAATGTTTATAATTTATTATAGTGGGATGGATATTTCAGTAGAATTATCACAGTCAGCATCTGAAGTTTATCTTGTTTCACGTAGAGGTAATCAATTGATTAAAAAAAATTTGTACAACAACAATAACATTCAGTTTCATTACCATTAATATTATGATTATTATTATAATAATGAAAAAGGTACACTGCCATGGATTTTGCCTAGATTTGTATCTGGTGAACCAGTTGATCATTTATTATCTAGATTCAATATGGTTATCTTGCCAGACTTTGTTAAAGATATATTATTTAAATTAATATTTTACATATCGTTTGGTTCATACCCAGACGGCCTAAAGCCAGAAACACATCCATTCAGTAATCATCCTGCTGTAAAATCAGATCTTTTTGAACGACTTAAAACTGGAACATTGTTTGTCAAACCAAATATAATCAAGATTAAAGATGACAATTCAGTGCTGTTTAATGATGGCTCAATTGTTGAGAATGTTGATGCAATAGTCTATTGTACTGGTTATGATTATAGATTTCCATTTTTAGACAAAGAGATCCTTACTGGTGGTAAGGAAATTGAGGAGCTGTTTGAGGAAGAATTTAGAACTAATTTGGTTTGGTTGTATAAAGACATGTTTCCACCAAACATACCAAACATTGCATTCATCAGTCTAATGCAAGCTAATGGTGCCTTGTTTCCCATTGGGTAAGTTTAATATGTATTATTTGCAAAAATGTATATATTATATATTAAAAAACACACTAAAAATGTGTATATATATATATATTAGGGAATTACAAGCCCGTTATATAACTGCACTAATTAATGGTAATGTTCCACCACTACCAAGTGCTGAAGTAATGAATAAGGATGTCTGTAGAAATCTTGCTAAAATCAAAAAAGAATTCAATTTATCTGGAAGACACACAATTGAATGTGACACATTGATATATTGTGATGGCCTTGCAAAACAATTGGATTGTATGCCAACTCATATGAAAATTATTTGGAAGTTTGGTTTGAAAGTTTGGTGGAAAGTAATTTTTGGAATACCTATTTCAGCTCAAGTAAGTTTGTTTTTTTTTTAAAAAAATTTTTTTTTAAATTTTATTAATGATATTTTTATTTTATCAATTAATTATTAGTATCGTTTGTTGGGAAGACAATCATGGGATGGTGCAGCTAAAGTTATATTAGATTGTAATAGCAAAAAGCCAAAAACCAAAAAATCAGAATCAAAATCAATAGTATTAAAATAAATAAAAAAAGAAAATTACTTTTCTTTATTCCAATGTAATAATTAAAAAGCATATTAATATAAATATATAAATTAATACAAGTATAATGTTAATAAAAATAAAATATATAAATCTATTTTATATCTGATCTCCTTTCACTTATTGCTTTTCTTGTATCTAGTGAAATTTCTGCTCCATTTCTTGCCAAATATTCAGCCAAATACCAATTTCCATCTTTAATAGCTACTTTGACATCTTTAGACTTTGGTTTGCCACCTTTTTCAATCAAAAGTTTTATGATTGAGAGTCTATTATATTTTACACATATGGTAATAGCTGTACCTGATTTAATATTTGGGTTTGCACCATATTCCAACAACAGCCTTATCATATCTTCTTTACCTGCAGCTGCAGACTTTATGATTGGGTAACCATCAGGTTCATCTGGTGATGCTTTTCTATCTAATAATATTTTTGTTAATTCTATCAATTTTCCTTCAGGATCTGGTGATGAAAAAAACCTATATGGAATTGCTCGTTCTGTGTATGGTATGATAGTTGGTGGTAATTGGGTTTCTATTATATTATGATTCTTTAGATATTGTTGTAGATGTAATGTATCTAAACGAAATAATAATTCTTTATCAAAAAATTTGAATCTAACTCCTCTATATAATGCTTTCAAATAATTTTCATTACTAATATTCATTAACCAACGGACCTTTAAACTAAGTGTTGGTTTGAAAAGTTGATTGAATTTCTTTGAAACTTGCGTGAATAATGGATTACGTGAAAATATAAATATTAATTCCAATAATTCAATTGGGAGTTGTTCCAGTTTAGATAAACTATATAAACTTGACATAGTTTATGATTTAGCTACTTTTTTTAATATTAAAAAAAAAAAAAAAAAATGAAATTTCAAAATTTTCAAATTTGGAAATATTAATGCAGTCGGTCGGTCGTACAAGGTTGCTGTTGTTATTATTTCGTTACGATGATCTTTTTTTTTTGGTTAAATTGAACAGCGGAAGTGAGAGTTATGGATCCAACGATTTCTTTAATCCTTCTCTTTTTCAAAGTATTTGTAAATTTGTTTAAGCACACAAAGACCAAGCTTATTGTTACCGTAATTTTTTTTCTTTGATCCAGCAAGACAAAGAAAACAAAGACGCATGTTTTGATTCCTTGCTTCGATTTTTTATTTATTTCAAACTATTTATTTGTACAATTAGTCATATTAAACATGTTAAAAAAAT